AGCTTGGGCTCTTTACCCTCTACAAGGTGGAGAACCCTAGCTACTTGGGCCTCTTCTGCAGGCAGCCCAAATTTGAGGATTGAATGATTGCCTATAAGAACTAGGCTAATTGCTAGTTGTTGGGCTAGGCTAACTTTGTTGTTTTTTTTTTTTTTTGTTTCTATCTTGGGCTTTTGGACATTACATATTTAGACTTGTTTGGGTCTTGGGTTGTCTTTATTGTTGGATATTTGTTCAAAAAAAAAAAAAAAGTGAATGCACACATTTGGTGAAACCACATTCTCTATGACTGAGCTGAATAACAATAGAACACTTAGAAGATTTTAAAAATACAAATATGGAAAACCCGGTGAACAAGTATATAAAACATAAAACCAATTGTGAGGACAAAAACGTGGAAAAAAAAATCATCAACAAATACGATTAGCCCAATCTTGAACATACTATGTTACATCATTCCCATTATTAAAAACCCACCAAATTCTTGTAATTTTGATACTAGTGAATTTGCATAAGGACGTAACGGAAACCATACACATTATATCCACACTTTAAAAAACTAAGAGACTAAAGTTCAAGTGTAGAAATATTAAGCTATATTGCAAAACTTTGAACTATTTGCAAGCAACTTTCACAACAAGAGAAAAGGGAATTTAGGTATATGTAGAAAATATATATAAAAAGGGCAAAAATTCTATATGTAGTTGTTCAAGGAAACTTTTCTTAGTAAATAAAATAGAATAACAATGCACTCTAAGGCTCTTGCTTAGTTATGTACCATCCAACTGTTAAACTTTAAATATGTATATTACAACGGTCAGCATTTTAATGGTAAAAAAAACTTAAATGTAATCAACCACCAAACAATTAATCAAAATGGTAAAACGATCAAGTCTGATTGAGCACCAAAAAGTTAATCACAAAAATTGAATAATGACCCATTTTCTCTCTCTCTCTCTCTCTTTTTTTTTTTTTTTGGCTCCAAGATTTATAAGTCAATCATAGTAGAAATTATCTTATTCCTAAATATGTATTGATCTTCAAAAGAGTTCGTATTTACTTCAAATAACGTCCAATCTACTCTCTACTTTACTATCAAACTCTAAACTCTATACATAAAGTTAGGGAAAAAGATTATTTCAAAATTTTTTCTTCCTTGGTAGACTTTTTACTGCCCATACAATACTCAATCCTCCATAATACTTCTTGCTTAATATGCTTTAGGATCACCTCCATAGTTCTTTCCTTCCCTGAGAATAACCTGTGATTTCTCTCCTCCCATATGTGATACACTGTAGCAGCAATTGCAGCAAACAGTATCTTCCTATTCAGCTTCTGATTTTCCCACCATATCAACATTAAGTTCCTCCAGTCCTTCTGATCAACTGTCAGACCTGCAAACTCAGCCATCTTCCCACGTCCTTCAACAACTCAGCAGGATACTTACACTCAAAGAAGAGATGGCAGAGGTTTCTAATTGACTCTGACAGAAGATACATTCTAGATTATCTTTCAACAAATTTATTTTACAGATTCCATCATTAGTGAGCAATCTATTTTACCCAAACAACCATAAGCTGAAAGAATGTTTTGGCACATTATATCTTTCCCAGATAAAGACACTAATAGGTGGTGGGTTGTCGAAGCCCCCAAAATAAATTACCAACTTAAACTGTAGATAGGATAAGTCGGGTCGGTCCCACAGGGACGGGTTAAACTTCAAATAACCGGAAAATAAACAAGAATATAAGAGTTGGACAAACAAGGAAGAAAATTGCAGACTCACTTGCCTGAGTGACAAAGTCACTCACGCGAATGGACTCTGTAGAACTGAAAACAAACAAAGACAAATGAAACCTCACTCACGGGAGTGAGAATTCTGACTCAAGGGACTGACTCAACAAACTGGATATTCATTCTCTTTTCCCTATGTAATCAAGTTGTAATCTTGCACTCTTTTGGTATGAATTCATGCTCATTCAGGCACTTATATATCTCTAAGTCACTTCCGATTTTTTCTAGAGGTATCTTTATGAACTCAATTAAACTATTTTCCAATGATTAATCAAGTCATAAAGTCATTAAATTTTCAAGCCTTATATGAATGCTTATGCTAACCAAGTATATTTCTATGTCAATTAGAACCTTGGATTGTTACCTCCAAGTCATAAGTTGAAGCTAAATGATTCTGAACCTTGTTTACCCTTCCGGGATTCACTTAGTTCTTTGCACAATCAATCAAATGGCCAATTTAATCAAGAGGAAGATGAAAGTTTTAACGTCAAACATAAAATCATCCGAATACATTCACAAACTTAAACTACATAGGTTCCAGAGAATGAAATCTAATTAACTACACATATAAACTACAGAAAATACAAGAAAAGAAGGAAAGCATTGAGAAGAAGCAAATCTGGATGGCTGAGCAACAGGTCACTCGCCTAAGTGACAAAGGTCACTCAGGCGAGTGAGGTCGGTTATTCCTCTTTTGCTGCTACTGCACTTCTTCTTCCTTTGGAGTTTTCTCCCCTCTCCGGTCTCTTCTTCTCTCTCTGTTGTGTTTTGTGTGTTGTATATCCTCTGATGTCTCTGTTTTTCTGCTGGGAATGCAGTCTCCTTTATAGAGCTTGTTGTCGGTTCTTCTTCCAAGAGAGTCTCAACATGCTTGTGTATTTTTTATTAACCCCAATACATTGTGTCTTGAATCCGATTTTGACTGGCATTTTTCTCTTCTTCCAGCAGTGGTATCGGCAACAGCATTGATCAATGTGGGTGGTTGGTTCTTCATTCAAGGGGACAAGCATGCTCTTTAGTTTCGATTGTGGGACACCCTTATTAACTCCCAATATGTCTTGTGTCTTAGAGTTTCTTTCTGACCAACTCAGCCCTCATTTTAAATTGGAATCAGCAGCCCAATTATTGCTCCATAAACCCCCATTTTCAGCATTTGTTCACTCCGGTCCTCACCTATTTAGAAACACAAAACTAGCTAAGTAAAATGAACAAAGTCTAAGAAACACCCCTAATTTCTAACTAATTAAAGAGTAAAATTGCAATACTTTTATGTAACAATTTGACCGTTATCAATAGGCAATTGCTCTTTATTACCAATCAACCAATTATAGCTAGAAGTGAGAGTGTATTTACCAAAACCAAACCCCCATCAAATTCATTTTTAACCCTATCTTTCACATTTAGAATCCTCTTCCAATGCCAGCTGGAACTTTATTTTGGCTGGATTTGCCAGAAATCTTGCTCCTTTATAGAGTAAACTGCTCAAATGGTCCTTTATATTTGGCAAGAAATTTATTTTGGTCCTTTATATTTGACAAGAAATTTATTTTGGTCCTTTACATTAACAATTCACTGATTTGGTCCTTTACATATGTATTTTATACTAATTTAGTCCTTTTTACTTTTTTGACCTTTTACATTTGGAGGTTCTCGGTTTGACCATTTCTTGGTCAAGTCAACAGGGGCATTTTGGATAACTTTTAATTTTTAAATTTTTAAAAATAAAAAACCAAAATTGATTAAACTAATAATAAACATATTATTTTAATTTTATGATTAATTATTGAAAAATAAAAAAAATTAAAAGTCAAAATTCAAAATTATTTTTTCAGAATTTGAGTTATTATTTTTTCTGATTAATTTCATTAATTGCTTCTTACACCTCATCGTTTGCCCTCTCTCCACAGAATTGATTAAATTTCAAGAATATTAACAAACAATATCATCGCGGACCAAGAGGCTTCAGGTTCACGCAATCAACGGCAATCACACTCCAACTATGGAGACAAAAGCATTACAATTTACAACTTTGCCAAACTAATTTTTTTAAATGTTAGTGCAGAGGAGTTTTAATTAGAATTTTTAATGAAGGGAATAATTAAGAATGAATGATCATATCAATTTCGATTATGAAGATTGTAATGTTTAATACATATTATCTCATAGTTCTTGTTATATTTCCTAGAGCTTAGCGTATAATATTCATCTATATGCATCATGGTTGTTTTAATGATTTAATTTTTACTCCCTCCGTTCCATAATTATTGTCCAATTTTACTAAAATGAAAGATTTTATTTTTGGTCACACTTAACTATATTTTACCTTAAACAACCAGATATATCTCTACATAAGTAATTGTTTAACCACTAAGATTTTATGGATAATGGTTTTTACTAAGGATGTGTAACTTTATCCATAAAAAGTCAAATTGGACAATAATTTTGGGACAAAATTTTTTAGTCAAAATGGACAATAATTATGGGACGGAGGGAGTACATTTTAATGAATGACAAGTTATGAATTGACAAGTGTTAATCGAGTCCATTGATGGTGTAATTACATCACACGTGTCATTCCATCATGTCTCCTTTAACACATATGGGACTTGTGTAGTCCCTTCTGAGGACATCTGATTAAAATTGGAATGATATAGAGAAGATAAGTGCGGCCCTTGAGCAAGGATGACACGCGCAAAATCGAGAAATGGTCCAAATTTCTGTAGGTTGCAATGGGGAAAGGTAAGTTGGCCTTTTTGGCAGTGAGAAAAAGGGCCTTCACCGGCAATATGTGATGAATGTTAAACCTGACGTTGTGAGCCCCCATATGATAAAACACGCCACTGGCTTGAGTACCGAGTTTATTATTGATGTTGAAGGGGTAGTTTTTGTGCCCGAAGTTCCTATTGGAAGAACTACACAAAAGGTTGAAGTTTATGTTATCAAAATTTATTCCATAAGCAATGCGGAGCAAGCCCTACTTGTTAACATAGACGACGCTGCGTGAAGTGAAACTGAAATTGTGAAAGCTGATCAGGCTGGTGAACCTGTTATTCGTACTAATCAAGACACGCGTTTGAATAACAGGGTCCTGAACTTGCGCACACCTGCAAAAGAGGCAATATTCCGCCTTCATAATGAAGTTGGCATGTTTTTTGAGTAATATTTTGCGAGCTAAAGATCTTAGTGCACTACATACACTTAAGCTGATGCATGGTTCTAGTGAGGGGGGTTCGGCTGTTTTTAAGCTGGATTACATGGGGACACCAACTTGTCTAGCTCAGCCACCTCAGCTGCACAAACAAATGGCTATTTGTGCCGATTTCTACGACATAGGGCCTGTTTTTAGAGCTGAGCAATCACTCAGTCATAGACATTTGTGTGAGTTCGTAGGCCTTGACGTGGAAATGGAAATCAAGGAACAATATTCAGAGGTCATGGATGTTGTTGATGACTTGTTTGCCTCAATGTTCAATAGTATAAATAATCTTATTTTAAAAGCAGCTCCAGGCAAGTAACAAACAGGATCCATTCAAGACCTCGAAGTACTTGCCCAAGACTTTGCATAGTTGAAGAATGGATCAAAATGCTCGAGGAAGCTGGGTTTACTGTTGATCCTCTTGGTGATTTGAGCCCCGAAAATGATAGAAAGTTGGGGGAGCTTGTAAAGGAAAATTATGACACAGAGTTCTACATACTCCGCCGGTACCCTTTTACTGTCCGTCCTTTTTATACCATGCCATGTTATGATAATCCAACTTGTAACATCTCCTTTGATGTTTTCTTTAAATGGGAGGAAATTAATTCTGGAGCACAACGTATTCATGAGCCTCAGCTATTGAAAAAAGAGCTAGGGAATTAGGTATCGATGTCAAAATTCTATTTATATATATTGATGCATTCAGGTATAGGGCTCCACCTCATGGTGATTTTGGCGTTGGATTGGAACTGGTGGTTATGTTGTTTTGCACAATGAACAACAAACGCAAGATATCATTTTTCCTCTGTGATCCGAATCGCCTTGCATCTTGATCGAGGAATTCAAACTATTGGGTTTAACCTTGTTTTTAGTTTTCCGGTTACAAGAAAGAGATTCTTCTAGTGTAGGAGGTTTCGTTTCATAAAAAATTTCTACCATGTCTGAATCTTAGGTGAATAATGAACTGTTATAAGAAAGAAACCAAAAAGGAAAAAAAAAAAAAATAGGATAAGTGTATTTTTTGTCCGTGGCACTAATATTAAGATAAACTCTATCAATAAATACGTAATTTAGTTAAGTTTGTTGGCAAAAACAAAGATTTGGAAATGAACATTAGTGCTTTAAATTTCGTAGAGGGGGTGGTCTGTTGCCCTGAAATAGACTTGGACATATTTGTTCTTCTCACTTCTTTATTGGGAAACATTTTGGGCCTACCCTATTTGGGGCCCAATTTAAGAAATGGAAATATTCGCAAGTCGATGTTGAAGTTGTTATGTATGGAAAATTTGTTGCTATGCAATTCATCGCCACAGCTAAGATATTGTATAAAGAATTCTTCATTATTGACATAATTTTGATTAAAAAAATTGATTTCCATTTACCGAAAAAATGTAAAAGTAAATTAAATTAAATTAGTTGTTTAGTAGTTTAAAATGTTCAAAAAATCTATTTATATGTTTATAAAAATTGCGTACTATGTAAAAGTAAAACTTGTTGGAAATCACAGCATTTAAAAATAATAATAATAATAATAATAAGATAACGAAATTGTTTCCTGGACTGTTAGAACTTGATGTAGTGACCAAAAGTCTCATGCCCACGGAAATTTTGAAAACTGTTAGAATAAGCCAAATACTCCCTCCGTCCCATAATTATTGTCTAGTTTTACTAAAATAAAATATTTTATTTTTAGTCAAACTTAACTATATTTTACCTTGAACAACCGAACATACCCCTACATAAGTAATTGTTTAACCACAAAGATTTTATGGATAATGTTTTTTACTAAGGACAAATGTGTAACTTGATCCATAAAAAGTCAAATTGGATAATAATTTTGGGACAAAATTTTTTGGGCAAAGTAGATAATAATTATGGGACGGAGGGAGTATCATGTAATGGCAAGTATACGCTGATGTGATAAGATGTCATATATATCGAAACATATGGCTCTAACAGTTTACAAAAAGAGTTGAAGGTCTAAGGTTTGTTTTTCTTCACTATCCTTTCTAAGCTTAGGAGCACTTTGTACTTAGTTTCGTAGAAAATTCCCAAACTTGTAAAACCAACTCAAATCTCCCAATGATGCATGGAGAAATTTTTAAAAAAAAAAAAAAAAAAAAGTCAAAAGAAACGGGAATCAATAGTAATTATTGTTACGTATGATTTTTTGGTGGATTTCTCAACCGCACGTCAATATCATAAGAAAATTATGGTCCATCTTAAAATTGTTGATAGTCATTTTCAAAGCTTATTTGGTAAGTTTTGATTGGATTAGTTAGGGATTTTTTTGGATAAGATAGACATACGTGGTCCTTCTATATATATATATATATATATGTGTGTGTGTGTGTGTGTGTGTGTATTTTGGCCATAATATCTATTATACTGGTGTGTTGTTGTTGAAGCAAGGGACAATTCGCTAAAAGGCAAAGAAAGTGACTTTAGTGTGTCACTCAGCATAAATAAATGGCAAATTTTTTATTTTAATAAAAATATTTGGGTGATTGTTAAATACTCTCTCCGTCCCACAAAAATAATCCACATTAAGTTTTGAGTTTTGTACTGTTTTTAGTACAAATTTGAAAACTCAATGTGGACTATTTTTATGGGACGGAGGTAATATTATACAAGCATGCTTGAAATTTTGAGAACAATTTTGCCTAAACCATTTCTTCTTCATAAAGTAGATGCGTATAAGTGAGGGTAAAATGATACTCAACATCTAGCTTTATTTTTGTGTGAAAAATGACATCATATATGTGATTTTTTTGACAGCAACTTTTTTCATTTGCGAAAAGCATTTTTAGGCGTTTTTCCAACTATGCAATTGTCATCTTTCGCCAGTGCTCATTTCTTTTGGCGATCGTTTGAAGGTCAGCTTTGATAGTAACAGTGTATTAATAATCTCTGTCAATTGTGTATGATAGTATGACCACCACTTTGCATGTTTATAAAAATGTCTTCTCAAAGTACCCTTTTTATTAGTTTTGATTTTTTTCCGATGGTTGATATATTCTGAGTAAGGTGTTGATTGGTGAAAAGTTATGCATATTAATTATTGTCCAGTTTGAATAGTTACTTTTAGTATAATCCAAAATAAAACTAAAAAATCCAAATTAAACAATAATTTTGGGATAAAGTGAATAGTTGTTTATTTTTTGAAGTACAACAAAGTAATACATAAAAAATGAGACTAAAGGAATTTATATGTTCGTACACAAAAACTAACCGAGGGTAAGGGTGCAATGGACGATTATCCTTTCTTGGTGCAAGATTGATTTTAATTGTTTTCCAACACTTGAGCTGCATGATTCAAACATGATCTATTTTGCTTATTAAAAAAAATAACTGGGAGATATTTTAATTCATTATTATCGTATTTCGGTTGTCTATATGCGGTACATGTTTAAAATTATTTCAAAATTCAAAAAAAAAAACAAGAAAAAAATATATATAATCTATTTTCTACTGGTTAATACTCCCTCCGTCCCATAATTATTGTCCAGTTTTACTAAAATAAAAGATTTTATTTTTAGTCAAACTTAACTATATTTTATCTTAAACAACCGGATATACCCCTACACAAGTAATTATTTAACCACTAAGATTTTATGGATAATACTTTTTACTAAGGACAAATGTGTAACTTGATCCATAAAAAGTCAAATTGGACAATAATTTTGGAACAAAATTTTTTGGACAAAGTGGACAATAATTATGGGACGGAGGGAGTATTACTTACAATTAAGCTGCTAGCATGGGAATTTTTGGCATTGACAGCTAGCTAGCTAGACAATCAATCAGTCAAGACTATAAAAACAACCGTTTTGAAAGTAATATTCAAGAATGGTTCTTTCCATATTCAAAAGAATTTGGACGACGAAGAATATGATAAATAGCTCAATCGGGGAAAGCTCTCTCTTTTTACACTAACAAGGAAAATGTTATCTATAATGAAAACAAATACAATTAAGAAATACTCCCTCCGTCCCATAATTATTATCCAGTTTAGATTTTTATTTCTAGTTTAAATTGTACTAAAAGTGAAATCTCAAACTGGACAATAATTTTGGGACAGAGGGAGTACAAAATAATTAAATCAATAGTGATAAATACTCTCTCAGGCCTAACAAAATATTCCACTTTAATTATTGTGTTATTTTAGTTTAACAAAATAGACTATTATTCTTAGATGGGAGAATATATAATAATAACCTTTACATCTCCACAAAACTGTAAAATGATTATATTACTAAAATCGGATATGTCTATTGCGACTCGAATTCCTTGTAATCAATATTAATTTCTTGCTTCGACAAATTCTAGAATGACTTAATCGCGGTTCACTACTCCCATAAGAAAATAATTATATGATCTATGGTTTTGCCTATTTTAGTTTTTGAAAAATAAGTATATTTGTAATGTTTGCCTCCAACAATCCCATTACTGTAATTGCATGTAACCTGCAACGCAAAATGTTCCATCAATGTTTTTCTTTTTTAAAGAAAACTAATAATATAAAACTTATTGGCAATTTAGTACGCAGAAAAATGTTGGGCATCTTAAAAAAAAAAAATAAAGCATAACAAATGGGCAACCGTCGAGCTAGCTTATCATTTATCATATTTATTCTTAATTAAAAGCAAAAAAGAAATGTGGTTGGAGCATGCATTGTCGCGTCTCCTATCAGTGGATATTTTAATTTAATGTTTATCGGACACTTTGACTCCTTCTTTGTACCGAGGAAAAAAAAACCATCATAGTGAATGTTTCTTCCGTTCCAAATAATTGTCATATCTATTATTTTCTTTCAATAAAACAAACGTAAAAATTCTAGAATGTAGGGAGGACTAATGCGACTGCTTCCACATCTCAACACAAAATTTTGTTACTTTTCCTTCTTCCTTGGTCACAACATTGTCTACGTGCACTCCTCCAGGAGAAGATCATATTTTCATAACTAACTAATAATAACTAAAAAAATATTCATATCATCTCATAAATCATAAACTAGTTATGTCTCTAGATTAATTATTACTAGCAGTAACTGAATGAAAGAATTCGCTTGACCTTGTCACTTTAATATGTCATTACCTTTACCCATGTCATATGTAATTTTTAGTTATTTCTTTCGTTTCAAAATAATTAACCAATTTTTTAGATATATATAAATTAATATGTTCTAAATGACATACATATAAGGGGCATAGTTAAGCGATGGAGAAAATTAATGACTACGCAAACAGTGAAATGGTTATATTTGACAAGCGCATTTTTTGGTCCTTATTTGTGCATCATTATTCAACCGATTTCGGACACACATGTTAGACTGTTGTGGTGAACAGAGACATTTGGAGCAGTATCAATCTATTTGTTGACAAAGGAGACATCTTCCTTTATTAATAGCCGGAATTAATTTTCATGAGTCTTTGTTCTCTTTAGGCATGTCATGCAGGTCACCAAGAGCTGTACGTAGCGAGTTAGTTTGAAGTGTTGATAAATCATTCAATTCCTACAGTATTGAAACTGTTTTTAGAAAACGATATGACACAAGAGAAAAAAAAAATGTTATATTCACTCCTATTCTAAAATAATAAGCGATTTTTAGCCTTTTTGACTCGTGAGTTAATTAATTATTAGTAATAAACTTACATCGCATACTATAATGTATGATTATTCTTTCGAGTTCAAGAAATTCGTCTAATAATTTGCCCGAACAAGGGCATCCATGAGGCTTTTGTACGCTATTTTCTAGTGAAAGTTTGTAGTTTGACCAAACTTTCCTTCCTTCAAGAATATTTTAAACTAAGGGGAAATGGTTAAAATATTG